TAAGAAAAAGCCTGCTTGGTGGAGGTCCCTAGGACCATCAATGGAGAAGAGCGGAGAGTGGGACCCTACCCAGAGAAGCAGTGATGCCTGAGATGGAGGCAGAGATGATGACGTGGAGAGATGGAGCAGCTGGAGACTTGAGATTCAGAGACGGAGAGGGGCTGTGTGTTGACGACTGGGGGGCGGGGGGCAGGCTTGCAGGGTATACCCTTTGGTTGGTTGATGATGCATGGAGGGGATGCTAACCGTGGCAATGAAATGATATACGATAGAATGAATGTAAAACTAATGTTCTCCCATGCAAACTATCATACAATTCACAATAAAACATTTATTAAAAAAAAACAAACAAAAAAAACCTCCTGCTTGGACCACTACTGGTACAAAGTAGAAGTAATGGAACCCTGAGAGCTACTCTGCATGTTTATAAAAGGCATAATGGACCGTGCCTATTTACTAGCAATAAAGCTGCAAATGCTCGTATAATATCTCGTTATATTTGGCTGGAATTATGTTAATTCTATGCGCTATATATTTTAACTCCTAAGATCTCACAATGACACATAGGTATGAAACGTCTATCATATGAGTAATAAAAAGCATAAAATGTCATCAATATAGTTTACATGTTAAGTATTTTAGAATAAACATTCTATAGGGAAATTTTTCTTCTCATTTATTACTTGCTGATGTTGCATGACTCAAAATGAGAAGAAACAGCTCGAAACACTCATGAATATTCAGAATCTGGAATGTATAAAGTATGGATGCATAAATCTAGAGAAACTGGAAGTTGTCAAAAACTGAAATGCTTGAAGATGGATATCCTATGAGTTTGTTGTTGATAAATGTCATTAAGTTGGCTCAGTGCTTATCCTATAGTACCACAGGATCACTACTTCTCTATAGGGGTCCTGGTGAGGCTCTATAGGATAAGCTCTGGACTGCTAATTGCAAGGTCAGTGGTTCAAACCCACCAAGCTGCTCCTGGAAACCCTATACAGGGTTGTTATGAGTTAGAACCAGCTCGATGGAACTTAACAACACAACAATGCATAGGATATCCATCTTCAAGCACAGTGAACTCAAATGTACCGGTATTGGTCACCTGAATTGAACAATCATATGATCTACTATTAATGAAGAGGAATGGCATCACATTCCATTGTCAAAAAATAAAGATAAAAAATTTCAAGTTCCATCCTGAAGTACAATGCTGTCAATGACAGTATAATATCCATACACCTACAAAAAAACCAATGAAAAGATTATTATTCAAATTTACACAAACCACTAATCCCAAAGATGAAAAAATTAATGATTATTATAAATTTCTATGGGGAGTGTGGTAGCTCCATAGAATAAGCAATGGGCTGCAGATCCTAAGGTTGGTGGTAGAGTCTACCAGGCGCTTGGAGGGAGAAAGATGAGGCTTTCTGTACATGGCGAAGATTTACAAGACTTGTTGCTATGGGTTAGAACCAACTCAAACTGGTTGTTGTTGTTATGTGCTGTGGAGTTGGTTCCGACTCATAGCAACCCTGTACAGGGTTTCCGAGGCTGTAAATCTTTACGGGAGCAGAAAGCCT